ACACACACACACACACACACACACACACACACACACACACACACACACACACACACCTACTACTCTCGTTCAACAATCTCATCTGGCTACTGCATGAAGACTAATGAAACATGAGAAATGGGAACAAAGCAAATAACAATAGTCTGTTTACTGCAGCAAAAAAAAGAAAAAAAGAAATGGAGCTGGAGGGAAAATGGACTCTGCACAAACAGACAATCTTAGCGATTTGGGGGGTAAAAAGAGGGAAGAGCCACTTCAATTGAAATGCACCCATGTGTGAACGGAGCAAAGCTCAGACCAGCCTCAGATTTAGGAAACAGCAGCTTCCATCAGGCCTCCCTCAGCAGAAAAGACCAGCAGTTCCTACAGCAGGAAACTGGTGAGAATCTGATGAGACAGAAGAACAGAAAGAAAAAAAGAAACAGCGAGGACAGAAACCAGCGGCCCTGAATTATCAGACGAATGGGGATGAGATGTCAAAAGCAGAGGAGGAGGAGGAGGAGGAGGAGGGAAGCGTGGAGGTATTAAAGAGCACTTTGTGTTTTGATAAAGGCAGTCCTCTCATTGTGGACGTCAAACTCTTCGTTTTCAGAGTCTGTATTGAACCCATCCTCGCCCCACACGGTCGGGATGCCGCGGTACGACACCAACCTGTTCCCCCCCAGGCTGAAGCCGCCCCCGGCCTCCAGAGAGGGCAGCTTGATGCGAGCGCCTGAGCGCAGCTGCAGCAGGAGGAAGACGCCTCCGAAGGTGGTAATGATGGCCATGCAGCTCAGCACGGCGATGGTGATGGGCATACGGGAGTCGAGTTCCAGCTGGGACTTTGTGTTTACTTGCTCYCCCATGATGATGCCGGGGGTCTCGCGCATGTATTGGCCGTTGTGCAGGCACCTGCCCAAGTTCAGGGAGCTGTGAGGAAGGCAGGACAGGCAGGAGTCCGGGCTGAGGCTGCTGCAGGTGAGGCAGGGCGCAGGGCAGGGCAGGCAGACCAGGACYGAGGCTGGGAGGATGGCGTTTCCAACCGTGTAGTTGAGAGGCTGAGAGCCCACTGCGAAGCCCGCCGGACATTCTCTCACACAGCGCTCCTGGAAGGGGTAGTAGCCAGCGTTGCACTCTGCAACAGAATCAGAAACTGAAATGAACAACAAAACAACCCGTTTATCTTTTCATATGAGTCAGACGAGCCAAAAACAAGGAACCAGGATCTTTAACCAAAAACCCCAACAGTCCAGACTCTGAGAGCACAACTAAAACAACAACAACAACCTGCTGAGGCCAAAATATTTTATCACATTCATTAATGGAAATGATTTGCTTTGTCAAGTTTCAACACAATTTAGCTTTAAGTAATCACTGATAAAGCATTTTTGTCCGATACCAAACCATTTTGAGGATGTTTTTTGTTTGTTTTGTATCACTCAGGCATAAAAWGKCTCCTAAACTGAGATGAAACTGTGCCATTTCAACATAAAACAGAAAACTTTGCAAAGAAACTTTAAAATGGATCTTTAGATATTTTGTTACCAACAGCCCATCTGTTCACATTTCTTTAGCTGAACCTATAAAAAATACCAAATCACAAACATGGTGAACATTAAACTGAAAGCTTGATGTACAGAAGATATGAGCGAAAAACGGTTAATGTTTCAGCTTCTGTGTGAAATCTATATACGACTTGTTTTATCTCTACTCTTCATCTCGTGCAGTTGAGTAAAACAGACCGGACAAAAGTGAGTGAAAAAACAGCCAAAACTTTCAGAAAGCCTGAGGAACCCCTAAACAAAAATATTTCAAATGTTTGGTCAAACTGGAAGCAAAGAACCCAGGTTTGAGGAGCTTTAAGGCTTGTATTTTAAGTGCAGCGTATTAAAATCAGCTCATGTKGTTGTGAGCCAGACGTCACGGTACAGTGTGCTCTCGCAGTACACAATTATCATAAAGTGTGAGGTGATAATCAAATACATGATAATTATAGTGTGTGTGTGTGTGTGTGTGTGTGTGTGTTTCTGCAACAGAGTGAGAACCATGCTAGGTTTTAACCAAGTGAGGACATTTTTCCAGTCCTCACTGTTTTTGCAGCTCTACTAGTTAGGTTTAGAGGTAAGGTGTGAACTACGTTTTGGTTCAGGTTAGTTTTAGGTATAGACTAGTAATGATTATTGTTAGAGAAAATGTCTGGGTTAGGCACAAATGCAGTTACAAAAATGAATGGAAGTCAATACATTGTCCTCAGTTTGATACAAGTACAAAGACATGTGTGTGTGTATATGAGCATGCAAGAACCTCTGACAGCCTGTAGGGGTCAGACTATCACTGTCTAACCCGACATGTAGTCGGACCTGAGAGCTGGGTGTTCAGTGGTAACATTAGACCTTGCCTGTAGCATATTGGTATTAAGTGGAAMCAGCAGTGTGAAGACCCTTAAATTAAAACCAGATTAGTGAAGAAGCCTGAGGCTGAACTTGTTTCATCTCATCAGCTCTTCATTGAAAGCTGATACTGTTGTCGAGGCCGTACGCCGTCATAAAATACAGGGAGAAACTCAACAAGTCTTATAAAGAGTCACAGAGCAAACAGGTGCAGCTGAACACACACGATCACATTTCATGATTTTCACACCAATCTAGGGCTGCAAATAACGATTATTTTAATTATCGATTAATCTGTCGATTATTTTTTTGATTGATCGATTAATCGGCCAAATCATTAAAACGCTTAATTACACAAATATGAGTAGATATAAATTAATTTAATTCCTGTATAAATTAGGGATGCAAGTTATTGATTAATTAATCTGAAGTTGGTTTATCTTATAGATTGACTAATAATTAATTAATAAGCAGCCATTTTCTTAAAAACTGTTTTCTCTTGAATCAAGAGGGTGTTTCCATAACATGAAGGATTTTTTTATAATCTCATGAATTAAAAACAGAAGACCATCATAACGATTTTAACAATTTAATTTGCCAGCTGTATTAAATACTGACTGAAATAAAGTGTATTTCTCATGAAACAGAAATTTAATAGGTTGCTGAATGAGGAAAATAGATTAAAATAATAAAATGATTTTTAGATGTAAAACTA